ATAATCAAGAAAGTCGATAACGTAATTAATGTTATGTATTTTTGGTTTAGGAGAACACAGTGGTAGCGGTGAACACGATGGTGGTAGCAATAACAACAACGGAGCATCCACACCGTGTGGACAATCCACACAAGGATCAGGTAAAGACACTTATTAATCAAGGAAGTAGGTAACGTAATTAATATTATGTATTTTCGATTTAGGAGAACACAGTGGTAGCGGTGAACACGATGGTGGTAGCAATAACAACAACGGAGCTTCCACACCATCTGGACAGTCCACACAAGGATCAGGTAAAGACACTTATTAATCAAGGAAGTCGATAACGTAATTAATGTTATGTATTTTTGATTTAGGACAGGGCAGCGGTAGCGATGGACCCGATGGCGGTAGCAATAACAACAACGGAGCATCTACACCAAGCTCAGGTAAAGACGCTTTTAACCAAGGAAGTTGATAACGTAATTAATGTTATGTATTTTTGATTTAGGCGGAGGCAGCAATATCGGTGAAAACAATGGTGGTAGCCATGGTAGCAATGGCGGTGACAGTAATGAGTCCAGCAGTACCACCATAGGCATGTATTGTTTTGTATTATTCACTTTAATAACACTAGTGATCACCGTTAGTACCAATATTTACCTTGGAACTATATACTCTTGAATCAGTGCAATTGTCAACGGTCACAAACCCATTCGCTGAATTCGATGACTATAAGTATCGGTAAAAAATGGATTTATAACAATAACATTTTCTTTCAGATGTCCAGATTTCTATAGTGAAAATACTAATCAAGAATCTCCAGCCTTGGACTGTTGAATTCTGCAACAGACATAACATTATAACCATAAAAGAACTGATTAGTCAATACTCTTTATGGACTGCTTACATCTATGAAGAGTTTATCAAAATAGTTCGCGTTAACGTAGGCCATTGTCGATGCTGGTAATTACACCGTAAGTATTTACATCATTGAATCGTTCGAATATTACTTTTCTATCACACATCAATGTAATAAAACCACTCTTGTCTTCCAATTTCAGTTTTCTGTAACTTCCGTCAATTGGAATAAAACTTCAGATACAGACGTAAATATACAATAAATATACGTGTACAGTTTATCAAATTTATTTATATGTAAAACTGGGGAATGGAAAAGGTTTAATAAATGTTATACTGCATCACAAAATAATTCCTCCAGTTTTCTTCGTTTCCCTCCGAGCTTCCTCAACAGTAAAACTACCGAACATTTAATAGAATTAATATGCAATCCTAATAAAAATTGTAACAATCATTTTTTCAATTTCCTCAAGTACCCAAGTAAAACTATTGCTTTCAAACTCACTTTGGATATTTACCATTTTCCAGATACCAATAATTTCTAAATAAGAAAACTAAAACCCTCATCTGAGTTCGATCTACCATTAATCATATCAATACTTACACTTCCAGAAATTCACGAATACTTTGAAATTATAAAAAATCGATCGTTCCCGAGGAAAGTCGCGATAAATCGCTCCTTGCGATATGAAACAGCGCGTGGCGTTCTGTCGATCACGCGCGCACTTCCGAGGAAGCACGTAGCCATTGAGGCGGGTCCCGGCGGAATCGTATGTGGCGTTACTAACATCGCGAAGTAAATCGAAAGAGAAAGTAACTGCGTGTCGTAAGATCGTGCGGCGAGTTTATAGCGGGACGGAATGAAATCTGTTAGTTGCCGAGTGACTGCGAAAGCGACGAGTATCTTCAATACTAGATTAACATACTTTTATCTCGTTATTCCCTGATTTTCGAATGATAGACTCAGTGAACGAAAGGTAAGCGAGCATCAAGTAAACAAATTTTCTTCAGCAAAAACTGATCGACATCATAACATACGAAACAACTATCCTTATATTCAATGAAAAATAATATCGCAATATTACAATAATAATATTTCAGCTATAATGTATTGATATAATAACGCTTTATCTATGCATAGACTCTTTTCACTATAGTCTCTCTTTCTGCCGACAGAATCACTTTCAAATCAAGAATCTGAGTAATTATTCTGACAGAAAGTTGATTTTATCGATCGTGTTTTTATAATCCGAATTGGTGACAATCTGTGTCAGAATCATCGCGATGAGGGATACAAGGAAGACGCACGGTATTCTAAGGATAAGTGTGATCGTCCTCGTCTTCTGTGTTGATTTATCATTCGCTTTACCTACGGAGCAGCCAACAAAATTCTCGTTGAACACCGGCAGTATAGGAACAACGACGAGTGATGATTCGAAGACGACGTCGAGGTTCGAGCAAGGACGAGTGAGTGACATCCCGAATTTCGTTTACTTCTACCTTGGTCAGAAAGTATTTAATCAGATCAAATTGGAAGCTTCTATACACACTAGAACCTCGGTTATCAGATTTAATTGAGTAACGATTCAGATAAAAGATAAATTTTAATTTTCCAAGATGTATTCATAAAATTCTAATGTGAAATCCAAGAATGCTCATTGTGTTCCAGTTCGCAAACGGCGAACGATCTAAATGAAACATCGAGGTGCTACTGTAATTACTCTAGCAATTACGTTCAAGATATAATAATTTGTCAAATGAAAACGTATCATCAGTCCGTTAGAAACGTAAAGAAGCGTTTGCATTGACATAGGAAATTATTCTCGTTAACAAGTTGAATTTCGCGAAACAGCCAATAAACCGACGATTCGAACGAGCAGAATAATTTCGATCGTTCGACCCAGAACCGGACCGGTTCCAGTCAAAATTTCGGTTTTTGTAGGATTTGGTAGGCAGCGTCGCGGACGCGATAAGAATCGGCACAGGGAGGTTTGTCAATTCAGTCACGTTGGCCAGAAACATCATAGTCGATCGGGCGGAGGTAATTGGTGCACTGCACACGATCAATCATTTCTTTCTCTTCCATTAATTTCTCTTCATTCATCGCCTCGGACGAAGGCTCGCCTCGGACGAAGGAAACGGGGGTCCAAAGGACGCGTTGAATCATTCTTCCGTCGATATTTCGTAACAATCCGGTACAAGGCTGCGTCTTTTTGCTCCGCCATGTGGAAACACTGAACGACGATCGATCCTGTCGCGCGTTCGGCTCGAGGTCGAATTTTGCATTAGAACGATCTAATTCACACGGCTCGAACGCACGCATGCTACGCTGCATGCGTGCGTGCTTGGACATTCACTTGAAAAACAAGTCACCGAAACGAGAACTTTCAAAGTTCCTTAACACTTGAACCGTGTCATTCTCGGCTATCGTCGAGGAAATATCGAACACTCGAAATTTCAGCGACACCCTTGATTTCATCATAAATTCCTATGAACACGCGAGTAACGAAAGTAATCATTGAACGTATAATACTTAATTATCTTCTTTTTGTATCCAGATTTTCTCATTCTCCGTATACTCATTGCATCCACGATCTACGTCTCATCTGTCGCTACTCTCCAAAATTCTGCAATTAATAGCTAATCACTTGTTCCTAGAATTTAACACTTGAACCGTATTCTCGGCTATCATCGAGGAAATATCGGAAACTCGAAATTACCGAGACACACTTGATTTAATCATAAATTCCTATGAACTCGCGAGTAATGAAGTAACACGCAAGGAAGGTGAACGAAAGTAATCGAACATATAATACTTAATTATCTTCTTATATCCAGATTTTCTCATTCTCCGTATACTCATTGCATCCACAATCTACGTCTCACCTGTCGCTAGTCTTCCGAAATTCTAAAATTAATATCTAATCACTCGTTCCCAGGGATATCTAACACTAATGATTGCAACACAAATGTTACATCGAAGTCAATTAATCCTGTGTTGATCAGGCGCTAGCCAGTGAATCGCAAAACCAGGTGGCCACTGTACTGCCAACTAAAGCGGACGTGCTGTACGAAAGTCAGAGATCGATAGAGGTGACGACGAATCCGCCTGTAACTAACACCAGGCCGAACGCTAGAGAAACAGTGCGGCTAGAGTCGGAGTCCGATCAAGCTCTCCTGGAGCGGCCGCTTACCAAGCCGTTCATGGGGGTTTTCGAAGCGTTCTTCAAGCCTACGCCATTGGTCGACGGCATCAAAGAGAACGAGAAGTATGGAAACACCGGGGACAAGTTCATTGGAATCGGCAGAGCCCTCGTCAGCGGTTTCGAAGGGTTCAGCAACTTCTTGAACGCAGTGGTCAGCGTAAGTACCATCGACGATCGATTCTTCTCGCTAGATTCCCTATGAAATTCTTTCTACATCAACGCATTCAAAGTTTCTGCAAACATCACTTGACATAAATCAACGATTTTCCCTCAGTTCCCGAAAAACGCTGCTAAGAAGACTTCCCGGGGCATAACGGAGGCGCTGAACCACGTGGGCGCGCGTCTCATAGGACTGGAGTGACGCGCATGCCCCAATTTAACGAATCCCTGTTGTCTGTTCGTCGTTTCCTATTCCTCGAATAAACTGTTTGTTTTTCTAACGACGCGTGTACGTGTACACGAACGGAGACCGATCGACTGTCGCATAAATATATTATTTATTAATCGAACAATACACGTGGAACGTTACAAGCTTGTCGTCACTTCGCACGGCACTTCGACAACTCGTCGTCTGTCGGCGTCTGTCGGAAGGCTGTCTTCGTTCGGAGAAACTCGAGTGGTGGGCGACGCGTGCTGCTAAATTATCAACTACGGTACAATGGTGTACTGAATAAAATAAATACGCTGCGGAACCTCGTCCGATCGACACGCCCGTGGTTTTAAAGCTACAACCAGTGACACCTCGACGCCTGTGGATCCCTGTTCCCACGGGAGCATCGACTTGAACTTACACGATTACGAGTAGAAATACTTGCGCTCCCGATCGCCGCGGCCGGGCGTGACAGCGGACGGAGAAACTCGATGGGACACGCTCGGAACGCTCGCGCTGGCACGCCCGCTCGCGCGAGTAGCAATTTTGGTATACGCAGAGATTGGTTACGTTACGGTAAATAAGGAAACTCGCATGCATTGTGGCTAGGCTGCGGATCTTTGGGCGGACGCGCGTTGGTAGCCTTCGTCGACGCTTGGAAATTTGTCCTTACTCGGGAAACAATGGTTTACACGTGAAACTTGTCTTTTTGATGAATTCAGAAGAATATCCTTTCAACCAACGGATGTCGCTAATTTACTCTATACATCAATGCAGTAACGTATAATTCGAACTTCAGATTTCCGTTGCTTCAGACAGTATGTTTCCAAATTACTCTAGTTTCCAAGGGTTCACATATATTGTGTCAACGGTACAGTTTAAGAAATCGAAGCTTCCGCAACGAAAGGTTTCGAAACAAAAACGTCATTCCAAACTCCAACACTGTCAAACATTCCCCATGCGAATCTCCCAAGCCCCGATCAGCGCAAGACCCGCAGCCTAGGGGTAACATAAAACTCTCGCACGAAACGAGAACATCTCCGTCAAGTATTTTCCATGTTCATCGTTCGAAATCGGCTCCGTGACGGCAGTCACTTCCGTGTTCGTGTTCCTTGTTCCGTTCGGAGCGCGCGGAAAGCGAGAGTCGGTCGACCGCGACCCCAAGGGGTCAGCGTTCCCTCGGGAATCGCTCAGGGGTGCGCGTCGTTCATTGGAACCGACGACCCTGGGCCTAACGAGCTACTGCGGGGAGATCGCTCGATGCTAGTCCGAAAGAATACAAATCCGATCGGTCGGCTCTCGTGTTCGTCGCGACGCCGACCTGCTGTTCGTCGGTAGGGTGACCGATCGGACCTACGACTACAACTATCCTAGACAACGAGCCATCTCCCAACGACAGGGTGCCGCTCGAACAGTCCTCGTCGAACGTTCGGCCCGATTTCGTTCACCGGATCCGATCGAAGGTCGGAGCGCGTCCTCCGAGCTGGAACGAGAGGAGACGAGTCCTGTTCGCAGGGGGAACGGAGAGAACTTTACAGGGGTTCGGATCTCGCGGCGCGATCGTAACCTTCCCCGGATCCTCGTCGGAGGATCGCCGGGGAGGAAGATCGTGATCGTGCCGGTTGTCGATCACGGATGGATCTTAGACGCCGGTTTCGTCTAAGATCCATCGGAAATTCTAGGTGTTCGTCGTGTCGTAGCTCTTGTACGTGTGGGAGGACCTCTTGTGCCTGACCGTGCAGAAGAGTATCATGCTGGCCACCTGGCCGAACAGCTGCAGGAACGCGACCACCAGACCGACGGTGCCCACCACGTGCAACCTGGTCACCAGCCACATCTGAATGGCGGACACGCAGCCCTCCTTGTACCAGAGCTCCCTGTTGCGGCCGTCCGGGTCCAGCCGACCGCAGTATCGTTTCTTTTGTATGCAACAGGAGTCGGGCACGCGGCTCTTCTTCGGCCACGCGTCGATGTAGAACCAGTCCGTGTAGTCCTGCACGCCGCAGCAGTGGAACTGAAAACGGTTCGCCGCGATTTAGACACTTTCCAAACGGAAACTCGAGAGCCCGCCTCGCGGACCGCAGAAAATTCTACTCGAGCCGGGAGCTGTTTCTTTTGCGATCGGTGTTTCGCGCTATGGAGTTTGAGGTTATTTCGTTGTCCTGTGAGTCGATTTTAACTGATTATTCTGTTGATGGCGTGGTAGGTTTGAGAAGGACTTTTTGAAGTGGAGTCGATCAAGGGAAATGTGATTTAGTTTTCAGGGTGAATTGGATATTACTTTTCTGTTGATCGGTAAACTCTGGAGAGAGAAGTTATAAGAATTGAAGAATTAGGTTCTTTGAGGTACGTTGGAAGCAGAAACTCAGACTTCAACCTTTCATCTACAAAATGGATAATATCTATTCCTCGGAAAAATGAATGGGTATTGCAGAATGTATAGATCTTGTAAAGTAATTCTTTTTAGTTCTGAAGTTAACATAAAAACACAATGCAAGGAAGCGGTGAATGGCACTTGGAGACAGATTTACATTGCGCAGTACGCTCCGAATGTCGTCTGCAGTATTAAATGCACTTGTGCAGCCGATGAATGAGTGAATGCATAGTTCCTTCAATTACGCAAGCATACCGATTTAATGCTGGCCATGCATCTGTAATTTATTGTCGCGTGTGCTTTCGTTCGCTATTATTCTCAATCGCGGCCGCGTCGCTGAGCGTACAACGCAACGCTATCGACGGGCAACCTTCTATTTCTACTTTCAATCAACGTGAAACATTCTATTACAGTTCGTTCAATGGAACGGACGCTTAATAACAAACAATTAGACAGCAGGGACCTCGGAAACGAAAAGTACAAACCGTAGGATACAGAAGCACGGATCAACAGAAACTTTTCGCTCAGAAGCCAAATCGGTTAAGCGTAGGAAACAAAAATTACATACTCAGAAGCTATAAAAAGGACTCTAACCTAGAACAAACGAAGAAACCAGTGAATCCTTCAGCAACTAAAAAGAATACTATCCATTCCATAGAAACTTACAGAAATCAGAAAATATCCAAAACTAGACTTAACCCCTTGACCTACATGTCAGACTTGAAGTGAAATTTCGTATTTTAAACTGCATTTGAGAAATCTGAGTGTTATATATTTCCTTTAAATATAAATTAAATTAACTTCTGGAGTAAACTTAGATACAGAACAAGCATCAAAATTATATCGATCATAGTGAAGGAAGAGATCACAGGGCAATAGGTTAACCGCATTAAATTTCTGAGCGACTCAGACATCCTCTCACCTCAGACTGTATATGGTCCCAAATCACAGGGATGGTTCCAGGCTCCTTAGTCAGATTGTAATGCTTCTCGATACCGTAGAGCAGCTCCTGCTTCAGGCTTCTCGCGAGGTGTGCCCTGAAGGTGAACGCCAGGGTGCCCAGCATGAACTCAGCCAGGAACATCAGCATCACCAGGCCGAAGTACTGCGAAAAAGGCGCGCGTCTATGAGTGCGTAGAACCGATAGGAGCGAACCCGAACCCCGCGTGAAGGCGAACCTGTCGCGGAAACGGAACCGAACGCTACGAACCGTGATCAGCATGCATCTGGATTGAAACCAGGCACCGCAGCATCCGAAGAAGGCGATGACGAAGGTCACGCAGCCGGCGGCCAGCAGGAGCGAGTCGGCTGACGCGAAACTGTAGTACGGCATCAGGGTCATGTAGCCGGAGTACGCCAGTCGCAGCCAGAGGCCCGCACCCAAAATTCCGCAGGCGCATAGCTGGAAAGAAAAACCGCACGGGTCAGATCGGCGTGGCCTGGTTCCGGTCGACCGTGAAGCGAATTTTTGCTTGGCCGTCTTCGCTGGTCGTCGATGACGATTCTGTGAAGGTGTACTTATCTCTAGTTGCACCTTCACGAGTATCAATGGAAGCTAATTTTGATTATTTATACTATTGTTTGACTGTGAGACTTATAGCTAATTGTTGGGAGATTTTAGAGATATCTCACTGGTGATATCAACAATAATATATTTGGATCAAGTTGCACCTTCATGAGTATCAATGGGAGCTAATTTTCATTATTTATACTACTGTTTAATTATGAGTCTTGTAGCTAATTGTTGAGAGATTTTAGAGATATCTCACTGGTGATATTTACGTTTAGTTTAGAATTGTGATATAGCTAATCATTGAGAGATTTTAGAGATACCTCATTGGTGATATTTACGTTTGGTCTGGAATTGTGGTATAGCTAATTACTGAGAGATTTTAGAGATATCTCATTGGTGATATTGGTCTAGAATTGTGATATAGCTAATTATTGAGAGATTTTAGAGATTTCTCACTGGTGATATTTACGTTTGGTCTAGAATTGTGATATAACTAGTTATTGAGAGATTTCAGAGATCTTTCACTGATGATATTTACGTTTGGCCTGGAATTGCGATCAAAGTGAAGGGATTAAGATTAAGGTGAATCTAATAGGTTGTTAATTATTTCCTCGTGAGGATATTTTAGTGACCTTTAGTAGGCGCGTCGTGAATACCAATGGAAGCTAACTTTGACACCAAGTTGGAACTAATGAGCAAACATTCTTCAGTCCACAACGCAATAGAGTATAAACATAAAACGAACAATAAACTGCAGCATTCTAAAGTTCTAATAAAAATCTCTCCTCTTCACGTTCCACTCCATTTTGTCGTAAGTACAAAGAATCGTCCCTCCAGTTCTAAAGCTATCGTCGATTGCGAAAACCCGGGATTCGCCCGTTGAAAACTAATTTCCGTCAATTTTCCACTCGCGGCTAACAACGGCGCAGCTTTCGGTTCCGATAACCTGGATAACTCTACAATCTGCCCGAGTAGGTGGTTACGTCCGATGAATTATGCAAGCGAGAAGAACCCGTCCGACGAAACGCTCGAAACCCACGTTTCCCTCGTGCGACGAGAATCCCGATCATTCGGCGGTGCGTCGGAAATGTGGGTCGGGAACGTGAGAGTTCGTCGCCTCGTCGCTGAAACGCAGATCGAGAGGCAAGCGAGTTTTCAGCCGCGGGAACACGGCTCGATTTACCCGCCCGCGTTTCCCGGCCGGCCGTTTCGCGGTCTTGGGCTACAGTTTCAAAAAGGGAAGCTATCGAATCTACTGGCGACACGCTGAGATATCGGTGACAGAGAGATTAGAGGAGATATTGACCTCTCCCGGAGACCGTTGCGGTTTAGCGATTCGCCAGACGGTCGCAGATTAAAGCAATCACTGAACCGAGCGAGACGCGTTTACGGTTTCTGCCGTGCCTTTGTGCATCAACCTATTTCCGACCTGTGTGGTCCGATGCTCTCCTTCGCGGAGTGCCGATGATAAGAGAAATATCTCTCCCAACCACGAACGCAAGCGAGATTTCCGAGTGAAAATTCCAGACGCGAACCGAATACCCTAATGATTCAACATTCGTGTCTCGATCTAGAGTATCCGCTGCCTCTTGAAAAATTCAAACTCATTCAACCGGCGGTAACATTTGAATAAAACTGGTTTCCTGGATTTCGGAGTACATTCAGAGCATAAAAGACCGTATGCGAAGTTTCTCGAATAAAGAATTATGGCTGATTTACATTATTCCACTGAGCCAGTTCTAGAACTAGCTAGCTACGTGCGCAGACGTGAGTTCGAAGCTGAATTTGACAAACCTAAATGCTACTTTGTCTCGAGACAAATTCATTATTATCGGTCCTCAGTCCTGAAATAAACGAGTACATAGAAGCATCAAATGCTCTTCAACAAACGATCAACGACGAATCAGCTTCACCCGTTGCAATCGTGAAAGAAATCACAGGGCAAGGGGTTAACAGGAACAAACGTCGCCGACGTAATTCAATTCCCCATCGAAGACGGCGAACCGCCGCGCCGCGCGAACCGGAGCACCCGTTATAGAAAGGAGTACCAGTTCACGATCAATTTGTCAAGTTAGTCGCGGGCGGGGACGTTTCCAGTCCTCGACGGGGCAGTCACCGGCAGATAAGACAACGGCTAATCAAGCGTCGGACGCAGAGAGGCCGCGCGCCGCCAGCGGAATATTGACCCCGGGGATCGGCGAGCGCGCCGAACTGCCGTGTAAATTAGTATCTCGGTGGTAAACGCGCCGCGTTATCCAATCCGGTCCGGTTCGCTCGAGCGTCGAGCGATTTATGAGTCGTCGACAGGATCACCTGGAGCATCGCGCCGCGCGGCGTCGCCGGCCGACCCGATAACGCCAGCTGCACCGGTTCCATCGGCGTCCGCCATTGCGCCGGCACAATGGCCGGCCATTGGACGGACGGATGGTCTCGCGATTCAGCCCCGATTAAGACGATGCTCGATTTACGCCGCTCGCGAAACGGGTACCGTTAAGGATCTCGACGGGATAACGGCTGCCGGGCGCGTCGGCTACCTCTGATTACCGAACCGACTGCGTTCCCGCGCGAAATCCTCCGTATAGGTTAGGTCGCGTCGTGGACCGGTGCACGGAATCGCGACTCGGAACCAACCGACCGTACGATTGACCCGTTTCGAGCGTACGATAAAATGGAGGATATTCCATTATCGAGACCTTTCAAGTTTTTCTGTTCTACTCGAATGATTAAGCTGCGGGCATTCGTACAAGCGGCGTGGGCCGGTGCACACCGAGAACCGACCGACCGTACGATTGACCCATTTTAGAGATATGATAAAATGGAGGATTCCATTGTTCAGATTGTAATCTGTTTAGAGATGAATGATTAAACTAGAAATATGTATGTGCGGTATATAGATATGATGGTAATGGCGAATAGTAAGGAATAATGAGATGGTACTGATTGATTATTCATTGGCAGTCCAGTTCAAGGGCGTGTACATGCGGTAACGATGCAAATGGGTTAAGGGCAGTATGTGTGTAACCGGGACTAAGGAAAATAGCCGGATGAACCGGTTTCCGACGGAGGAATTCTTGTTTAGCCTTTTGAAACGGACTTCTGGGATTTCGAGTTCTAAATGGGCGATGGAACTATTTTATAGGCGTCGATCAAGGTTTGTTAGATGTTTTGTATCGCCATATTTGGAATAGACATATCTAATAATGATTTCATAGCAAGCTAATTAGAATATTTCAAATGAAATTTAATAATAATTATATTCAGTATTAAATAACAACAGATCCAGTATCCATTACCAATTTATAACAGCGGAAGTATTTCCAGATTCCCAATAAAAATTACAAGAACACGCTCATCGAGATCATTCCCATCACAACATGAAAGAATTCTTTAACACTGAAAAAATTGACACTAACCACTCCACTGTTCGAGAACGATGCTAATCGATCGGGCGCAAAACGCCAAGAAACGAGAGCACCGCGCGAAACTCGTTCCAGTATTACTTAAACAATAAAACTCGTCTGCGAAGTGTTTCGTAAGTTTCGAGCCCCGTCCTCGGGACGTCGAAGCACGTTCATAAATCAGCTTGATAACTCGAGGCGAAGGAGGCGTCAGCGGGTGCACCTGTTGCGAGCGTCGCGTCGCGTCGCGACAAGGAAGAGTCTCGCGGAGCGAAGGGGGGGCACGAGCGCGTCTTCGCCGGTACCGTAAGTTCATAGCTCATAGAGCACGGTTCAATGTCCTATTTAAGAGTTAGCACGCGGCGGGGACGGATGGTTTCAAGTGGAACAATAAATTCGTGAGGAGAGGCGCGCGGAGCGGCGCAGGAATGCAAGGAATGACGATGCGCGTCGATTTAAATCGCACGCGTGGGCTTCGGTTACCGGCGCGCAGCGTTTCGCGCGCATGGGCGTTCGCTGAAAAAATCGGAGGTTTTATGCTGCGGTACGGTATTCGTTATCTGAAGTAATTGGGATCAGGGTAGCTGGGCTAATCAAATAGTTGGTGTAACCGACGAGCTGTAGAACGATGGTTGACTAGTTGAGGTGCTTGTTCTAATTGGGAGTGAGACGGTTTGGGTAATGTTCGTTGTTTTCTGTAATGGGATAATGAATCATGTTGTTTAACTGAGACAGTGAGTAGACAAGTGTGCATATTGATCGGGACGTAATGAATAGTTAAGTAGTTTTATAAAGATTGCCATGGAGATTGGGATTCGGTTTTGCTTTTAATGATTTTATCCAGTTGAATCCATAGATGCCATTGCTAATTTTATTTCTAATGGATTATGATTTCAGTTGAATCCATAGATGCATTGCTAATTTTATTTTTGATGGATTATGATTTTATTCAGTTGAATCCATAGATGCATTGCTAATTTTATTTTTGATGGATTATGATTTTATCCAGTGAATCCATAGATGCATTGCTAATTTGATTTCTAATGGATTATGATTTTATCTAGTGAATCCATAGATGCATTGCTAATTTTATTTCTAATTTGATTATGATTTTATCCAGTTGAATCCATAGATGACACTCTAAATTTTCGTTCTGAGATTTCAATATTCTATATAGTCTGATACTTTGTCAAGAGAAACAGAAAGTTGCGTCGATTGTTATATCAACGATTACGCAATTTCACTGGAAGAAGTATGATAGTCTCGGTTTTTTAATTGATATAGTTTCTTGACGATTTTCGTGTCAATCACTGTGATCCGTTGTTATCCATTAATCGTATTGTTCAATGTCCACGTTCTATTTCTACGCGAGAGATCGTTCGAGAAATGAAACTTCGTTCGATTGTTTCAATACGCTACGGTCAAGTTGGCCGATCTTCGAGAGCGTGACTGTTCCACGGTACTTGGACGCGTGTTTTTAATCCGCGCGGCGCGGCGTCAGCGGAATCACCGAGAATATTTATTTTTAACCGGTTAGAGAGACGCATTTACCGACGATGATGGAATTAACGGTAACGCGTGTTGCGCGGCACACGGCTAAGAAAATCTTGCCGCGAACAAGTAGCTAATAGTCATTCGGTACAAAAGTAGCTATTCATAAGTCATTGGCGATTCCGCGAGGCAAATGGCTTCACGGGAACATTGCGTGTATAGCAATGATTGTTCGAGCAACATCGTGCGTTTTAAAATAGAATATTACGCTCGGCAAATAAACTTGCTTCGCGGAGTCGGTTAATTGACTTGTCTATTACTCCACCATATCTGTTAGAATCTATTTACCGACTCTCAATTACAAACAAAGTAACAACTGCGAGAATTACTCAACTAATTATAAACTGCCGAATGAAATTCCGAATATGCACCATTACAACCGTTTTCCAATAAGAACCGCGTCAGTTATACCATGATATTCCCTTTTTGCGTAAATAACGCTTATTTCATACAGACTTAACTACTTTTTCATCCGGAATACTCGAATGTTCTGCTCCGAATACTTTCCAAAGATTACAAAACAGCTTGTCTCTTGCATATACCGTGAAAAGTTAGAAGCAAGCCTGGAAGTCTGCACTGTGTTACTTATGAACTTCCGAGTGTCCGTGTGATTGAATATTTTTCAATCGTAAGGCTACTTCGTTAGATGAATTGCGATGTATTTCGTTGATAACAGATGAGATTTCACATACCCAGATGAGAACGTTGAGGGAGCAGAAGACGTGCCTGATGCACGTGTATCCTGTGCGGCCCATGGCTCGTTCCTTCGCGAGCTTCTCGCGATAAAGGGACTGGCAGTGTTTCCTGAAACGAAATTGAATCAAAGTCAATAACAGTCGACGGAAAACAGTAGGGAAACTATTTCTTCATTTTGAAACTGAACATCGTGAATCATCGATAAGCATTTATGCGACCATTGCACAGTGAACTATCTAAAGCACATTATATTAGGAAAATTGTAGAAAATCAATCAATGAGATCAAATGAATCTCTATTAGAATAAATCCATTATTCTCCATATACTGTTTTTCGAGAATAATCTTTCGAAATCCGTATTTCAAATGCCAATTAATAGTCTGATAGTTTCGAAATGCAAACGTATAAGTACGCAAACTGCGCATCGCACCGAATTACCAGGAAACTCGTTGACCACCAACGAAACAGAACCGAGCAAAAGGAAGAGGAGAAGTAGAGGCAGCAGAAGATGAAGATAAAACGGCACGGAACCAACGAGCTCACGAGCACACGCGACGATTACGTATTCCGTTTAAACACGAGATGCCTGGAACGATGGAGGCCCGTGAATTTCATTGCATCTCGGCTCGTTGTTGATTCATGGGGCAATAATACGCGTAACTATGATCGCAGTGAGTGGTTAAACGAATTTTGACACTTCAGAAGCCTCGTGGACCACCTGTGAGCCACTTAGAACCTTTCCTCTCGACTATTTTGATCGCCTGCTCTGAGATCAAGCTGTGAGAACTAGTTAACACGTTGTCTTCCACGCATATGATGTACGTTCTGCTTGTACAGTCAAGATTGTTAGTATTAATAACAAACATTAAGTATACATGTTAGACTAAGGTCCAAGCGTTCATTGTATCAATAGCAATTCAAACAATATTCAGTCACTCGAACATCAATCGTTAATCCTTTAACGCTGTTCGTATCACATGTTTTCTTACACAATAGATCAAGCTATTAATTCGATTCATTTACCTAACGAAATCTCACAAAAATTCCTATGTTCACAGCAAAAGGTAATTAATCTCTAGTGAGTATACTGTTGCATAAAATTTATTCATTCCCTCGTGAAGAATATACTCAAACACCATTAAGAGAGTAAGCATTAATCAAACAACCACTTCATCAAACAATGTCGACATTCGTCCGCAAAGGGTTAACCTTCTCGACTCAGAAGTTTTTCACTAGAAATTTAACACTTTCCGATGAGAAAGGCGATACTTTGTGAAACTAACTCGAAGAGAAATCACGCGTATTGAGGAACAAAACTATGTTATTTCAATATTTCTCAAATCGATGCGTTATACGAAGTATAATATTAAGTATCAAATTTTATAGTTTCACTGTATGAAATTAAATGGTGAGTGACAGTCGTGTTAATAATAACCATTAACACTATTTTATTATAATCGAATTTATAATAATAAAAGTTAATAATAATAATAACAATCTGTATGAATTAATATCGCCTCAAAGGGTTCAAGCGTCGAGACTTACAGTCAAGTGTTCAGCGAGCCGACGGTTTCCATTTTGCCAGCGAGAATCGTCCGACAATCCTTCCGCGCGCGGGAACCACGATTTTATGATAATCGAATTTATAATAATAAAAGTTAGTAATAATAATAATAATCTGTATGAATTAATGTGCCTCAAAGGGTTCAAGCGTCGAGACTTACAGTCAAGTATTCAGCGAGCCAATGGTTTCCATTTTGCCAGCGAGAATCGTCCGACAATCCTTCCGCGCGCGGGAACCTCCGCGTAGCCGATCGAGCGCCGGTTGACTGATCGACCGATCCTCGCCCGACGAGGATCCGTTCCGGTGTGCTCGGAACCGGGTCGATACGATTGACTCTGGGCCCCATCTGGGCCTTCTAGGTCCCCTAACGGGACGCCCCGCCGACAGAGGAGCCTCTCACCTATACAACGACGAGGCGGGCCTCAGCGGAGCGGTCCGTCACTTTCCTACGAACGTCCCGCTGCGAGACGGGAGAGACGTCAAGGTCGACGGAAATCTGCGAGATCGTTTTCCTCTGTCCGGAAGGATCCCGCGTTCGTCAGACGCCTTGCGCGACGACTCTTCGCGCAGCTAGATGCATCTCTCGCTTGTTGGCCGACTATCGTCGAGCTAGAAGTGCACAGGGGCAAGGGGAGGCGGCCAATCGCAGCGCCCGGTAGCCATGGAAACTGACGCCTCAGTCTGGGCGCGTCGTTGTTATTGGTCGAGCCTCGTGACGAAGGCAAACGGAATGGAACGCGAGATGCAACGAACATCGAATTTCTTTCGGTGGCTTCTTATGTTTTTGGAATCCTGACATGGATGATTATTATGTTTCTTCGGAGGATCGAGGAGCGTTCGATGGTAGTCGGAGAACTCACCGTTGATAATGATAATTTAACCGTATGATAATATAACCGATAATGATAATTCTCCCTATTCGATTGGCTAAGTGTTAATATTACACCTTATATAACGCATCAGTTTGAGAAATATTGAAGTAAAATTGCTTTGTTCTTCAATGCATGTATTTCTCTGCTAGTTCCACAAAATATCGTCTTCATCTCATCGGAAAATGTTCAAATATTTCTAAAACTTCTGAGTGCAAAGGTTTAGTATTAAGTATCAAACTTTATAATCGTACTACGTCAAATCAATTGGCGAGAGTTCCTCGCATTTTCTGTACTTTGTGAAGTTCAGCATTCAACTAACAACCTTCGCCGACGCTACTCCAAACTTCCAAGCGAAAGATAAAACGACGGCGTTATCGCAGTATGAAAAATTTCGAAAAAAGCGTGATCGATAAACCTCGTGCGACGTTATTGGGGGTAGTGGTACCGGATTCAACGTGTCCCGACGAGTAAGACGCGGCGCGTCTTTTTAGAATTGTAAAGGCCCGGCGGAGAATCCGCGGCGCACGGTCACGCTATCGGGAACTGGGATCTCGGTAAACAGTGTCGGCGTGTTCGACACATTTTTTTCATGCATTAAACATCCCGGGCCCCCTGTACGTGTAAATAATGGATCGAGAGGCGCGCGTCGAGCCGCTGAATAAAAGATCCCCGCCGCGATTTTACTCTCGGCGCGTCGCGGATCGTTCTCGTTAAGATCCTAGCCTGCATTTCCTCGAGTGGGTTCACTTAAATATCGCGAGCGTAATTAGGACCGACGGTTTCACTGAATTGCCGCCGGTGCGCTGAGAATTTTCAACTAAACAACCATATTGTCTACCGTACTCTCGAGTCGCTTCTCCCATGGATTTGAAGCATTTTATCTAAATTTAGAATCATATTTTATTCCTCGATATTTCTCTCGTTTCAATTATAACGATCGGAATCCTTTTCTGTCTATGGTGTTTGGTATGGTTTCCAAGGTTTATCTGACTATACTCAGAAAACACGGGGCTCTAGATTGCACGTGTTCAATATTTAATGGCGACAGAAAGACGAACTTCTTTGCACAGGTGAGATGACGAGGGGCAATGTTGACACGATTATCGCGATCAGCCGACAGTATCGTTGAATTTCGATGGCTCGGCGAGTCGCATTGCTCTGCTGCTTTGAAATGTGTAACAGATCACGGGAGCAAGGCGAATCCGTCAATGGGAGATACCGTCGGCTGACACGGCGACGTTTTCGCGTCTGAATAATGAAGGTTCACGTAACATTCGGCGGTCACGGCGCAGACGCGATCTACTCCGGGCTCTCGGCGCTTCCTCTTGCGAAACGGACGCGTCGGAAATCGGTTGCACGACAATTAAACCATAAATCACCGCGCGTAATTCTGAGTTTACCTGAGGCGTTCGTAGGTTACTTCGCTTTCTGTTTCGCTTCCTGGTAGAAACGAATTAGTCGAGTCGCGCATCTTTCTCGGGTTCCTCATCGCCATTCGCGATTGAGCTGATAATTACGAACCACAACGCATCGATGTATCTAAAATACCTCATTCAATGTTTCACATAAACGACGTTGCGCGCTATTCACATATGCGCGGTCGTTTCGCTTGTCACTCGCGTCCCTTTGTTTCCAATCGCGCGAAAACCACGCGAACGTAGCTCTAGGTCACCGAATTTACGCAATCTCACTAACAATTACCATTACCAATCATCGATAACAACAATCAACACATTCAAGAACAAACTCAGATATCAAAATTCCTCTAAAACTCATCCAAAACACAATCCAATAGAGACATTCGCAATCTACTGTCTCTCAGAGCAAATAATTTCTCACCTTTCGTTTCCTCGCGAGAGGTGATCTAACGATTCTTTCTCATTCGTTATCATCAATCCTCGATCGTTTCGTCCCTGGAAACTCGATTCGCCTCGAGAGACGAACGATCCAGCCTCGAAGGATCTCGAAATCCCATCACAGGTGGCAGAGTGGGTATCGCATTCCGTCAAAGATTCGCGTGCAGTGGGTTTAATCGTACTTGAAATCAATTCGGTGCGCCGGGCGAAATGGAACCGCAAACGCGGCGGCTAATGAACGGCGAAGAGAGTGCGAGGGGGCGTAGAAACGGTCCCCCTTGCCACGACTTCCTGCCAATTGCGGGCAATTTGCGATCATCTATGATCTCCCCGCTCGTCGCCGCGGTGACCGCGGTGTGGACGGGGCTTAAACGTAAGAGTTAACGCGGCACGATTCTTTTTTCTCTTTCTCGCTTTATCCACCACTCTTTTCCTCCCTTCTCCTTCTCGCTCGTTCGCCGCTATCTCTATCCATCGCTGTCTCTCTCGCTTTTTCGCTCTTTATCTTTGGTTCTTTCTCTGTTCAGCGTACGGGACGATCCTCTTTCTCGCTTTATGATACGTGCCATCGGCGGCTACGCATTAACGCGTCCTACGCGCCTAACTTCCCACGTGACGTAACCGAGGAAAGGAACGACGGGCACACGGAGTGCCAGGTTTCCAGCACGTCGCCGGTTCGTCGCTTCTTCCAGAGTAATTTCCACGAGCCGGACGTCGCCGGCATCGAAATCTGCCTTAAAACGTTCGAACGGGAAGGGAATTTGTTAGGAAGCTTGCGAATGTTTCTTTGCAATTGTAGGTACTCGTATGGGATCA